GGGCTTCAGGCTACAGTGCAAACACTGCTAACCCAGTCACTTTGTTACAGGCAAGGACGAGCCCATTCACGGAGAGATGCTGGAAGCATTGTGTGAGCGAAGCTCCCCATTTCTCTTCTTCTCTTTCACCTCCCTCCCCCTTCCTTTGTGGCCTTTTAAGATATTGGAAGCATCATGGAGGACACAGGGAGCAGCAAGTTGGCTCTCTAGTCGATTTCTGCCTACAAGCGCAAGCGGAGTTGAAACGCTGGGAAAAAAGGAAAGCAATAAGAAAGGAAGGAATAAAGGAAAGGGCCAGACTGCTGGGCTACAGATACTATACGCACCCACGTAAAGCTCCAAAGCCACTGAGCTCTGGAGGCAAAACAGTTACTACAGATATGCCACAATCTAGCAGGAAGTGCCTCCCTGACAAAAACCAAACACAAAGAGAGACCGAAATGCTACATGTTCCTTATAGCCAGGGGCATCCACAAAAGAAACTATTAGCAGTACCGTACTGAATTTAAAAAAGGTATTAGTCCACCATTACAATTTTAAACCTTTGCTCACTCCTGTCAACGGCCGACCCAGTGCGCTGACTGACACTAAAATAACCAGAAAAATATTTTGACACGCCACTTTAATTAGCCGAGGTAAAGGGAATGGACACATAGTGGCCTAGATTCTTAATGAGATGTTATAGGTGTGAGCTTCTATTTCCCATCATTCCCTAGTGTGCTGATGCCAACTGGGAGCAGACATGCTAAAGTATGGTTTTGTGGATATAACGTACCATTCGTAGCAAGGGGGTATTTCAGGGTGAATATCTAGTATTTTCCCAGAAGGCCTTTCACTGGGCCTCTGAGAATGTAGTGACTGCAGGATTAACACTGACCTCACATACCAACAGAGCTACTGTAAATCATTAAAAATGACTTGCTGCTGTCTGTTAGATGGATTCTCTCTCTCAAACACACACCTCGAGGGGAAATGAGGAATGTCACCTTGTAGCACAGAATCTCTCTTGGCAATTTTGACACACTGCATCTTCTAAACATCTAAATCCACAACACCCATCACGGGCGTCAGCTCTCCTAGGTTTAGCACCCCTAATGAGAAAACCAATTTGTCAGTTTTTTAACACATCTGAGAGGCTAATTGCTTCATCGGAAGGAATCACACTGTTTTATTCTCTCTGATCATCTCCAAATGGGCTGGTGTATAAACCATTAAATTAAATTAACAGGGATCTGATATGTAGACGTGTCCCCAGACTACAATGCATCTCTGCAGCATCGGAGCTTGTCACGAAATCTGCTGGAGATTAGAGCAGCCTCGTAAGCACAGTTGCTATAATCCTGCAGCTTTCCCGGTCTTCAAAAACTGGGCCTTATCATTGAGAAACTTGGAAAGTAAGCAAATTCAGAGACAAATTGGCATACATGGGATGGGTGACGCTGCCTAATCATGTTGGTTACAAGTACACTAAAAGTACACAAGGCTTGATCGACTCATACAATCAGCACATATCAAAATGGAAATTAGCAAATGCAGTTTTAGAGAGAAGATCGCTGATTAGTTTTTAACCTATACCATTTTCAGTCACAGGTGGATTTGGCAAAAACAAACAGTCTGCATGCTCTAACAATAAGTCCATTATTTTTAGCACTTCATAACACACAGACTTAAGCCACATTTAATACGTGACCATAACAGGGATGTGCGTTCTATATTAAAATAGACTGTAAATGATCTTAAGGAAACTTTGAATAGTTAGAACAGATAAGTTTGTTAGGGGCATTCACATAGGATGTGATCTTGTGTTCAGAAATAGCTGGACAGAGCACAACGGAATGGAGCTAGTGTAAACTTGACAATCTTAAACTCAATGCTCATGAAGAAAGATACTACAAAACACACAAAATGTGTGATTTTAAAGGCATAACTTATTTGAGAAGGTTTTACCTCACAAACTACAATTAGTGTTTTATCAGAGTCCATAATCCACACCTGCATTTGTCTCCACCTTCCTCTATGTCTGTTTAGCAGTAGGGTACTAGCGTCACAGCTTACAGAGAGCGATTTGTTTCACACTTCTCGAAACATAATCAATTTTAACTGTCATCTCAGAAAGATTCATCAGCCCTCCTGAGCCTTCTGCTCCCACTGAGTGAACCGCTTGACTTCTAAAGTTACTGATCATTTGCTGAGCTGTAAATGTACAAAACCAGATAAAACTGAATTTGACGGTGGGCCATGGTGTAAAGCTCTAAATCTGAATTTTATGTTATAAGTCAAACTCAAAAAGATATGGATATGTAGATACGCATTGCTCTCTGAGTGTTTTATAGGTTACAGTTTTAAACATCAAGTGTGTGTCAGCACTTTCATGAACAAAGACAGGGTGTCCCTCCAGTGAAGTTGTACACAGAGGACAGGGGTGTGAGAGAGAAACTGTTTGACCAGTATCTGGTATGTCTTTTCCACCAAAATGTTGCTGGTGCTCTTGCCGGCACAGTTTTACACTTACATGTGCAAGTATGAAAAAAAAGAAAAAATTCTTTATTCTATCAAAAGCTGCTTTCATAACAGTCATAATTATTTAAATATACAATGAATGCCATTTACAAACATAGTATTCATAAAATAATTAAGGATGCACCAATATTAAACTATGACCAATATCCAATAAATTATATTTAAAAAAGCACTTAAATGAATAACAAATTAAAATAAATAAAAGCACTAAATTATAAGATATGAATACATTCAAAAAATCTGCAAGACAGCAGAAAGGCTGTATGCGATGCCATGGGTAAGTGAAAAGACAGGTGAGACTGGAGCAGAAGAACTGTGGGAAATGATCCGCATGTAAAAGTGTGGCTCGATTCTTATCTTTTTCCTTCCATTACGTTCCTGTCTTAATCCTCTCACTCGCTACTACCTTCATTACCAGCCCACCTTCAACTCAAATCTCTCTCTCGATGTCTCTTCCTTCTTCTGTCTCTCGATGGGAGTTGAAAAGTTCACAGGGCCTTTGAGCCGAATCTCTCAATCACCCCCTTCTAACCCTGGCCTCTGAGGCTGTGTGTGCGTGCATACCCACCGTTCATGCACTCTCTCCGAGTCTGACGATCATTCAAATGCTGAGTGTGGAACTGATTCCTTGAGCAAGGCTGAAAATTTCAATTTGGTCTCTGCGAGCGGGAACCGTTCGGCTGTGGCAACTCTTCAGGGCCCGAGCAGGGATTACAGATTCATGCTGTAATGTGCTAGCTGCCTCTCAAGGTAGGTAAAAATCAATATTGCAGATGTTTATAAAACAGAGAGCCTCTCTCGGAGAGCTCTGAGACCCGTTACTGCCCCCCTTTTCTCTGCCCTAACCAATTAAATCCTTTCCACAATGACAAAATGAAGAGAGCCGAGGGGAAACAGACTGTGACCTCGTCTGTTTTATGATGTATTTAATAAGACAATTTCATGCCTCTAAATGAGCCAAAGATATCCTTCATTAAGACTGCACGAGCTGAGATGGACGGTTTGTCATTTAATCCAGTTTAGCATGGCATGATAAAGGGCATTAAAGTCCATCTGCCACACACAAAACCAGCATGTTTAAGAGGGGCTTTATCTGTACAGCAAAACTTAAATGGATACACCAGCCAAGATGAAAATGTTGCCGTCATTTACCCACCCCATGCCATGATCACATGGACGTTTTATTATTGCAAGTCATGGTCACAGCACCACAAACTTGCAGCAGGCAGTGTGTCACTTAAAAATCATCCTCTTATATTAAAGCAAATCGATTCAAACTTGTCAAGACACGGCTAAAAGCATCTTATTTTACAAAGAAACTCATGATGAAGGTGTAATGATGACAGTTTTCACTTTTGGGTAGAATATCCCTTTAAGTAAATTAAAAGATTAGATACAAATATGTACAGCAGGTTACATTTACACTATGAAAACAATCTCTTCTGGGAAAGATTTCAGTTTTGTATAAAAGACCAAGAGCGTTGTGTAACTCTGAATGAAACACATGAGTAGAGCAAACACAGGCCTCCTGAGAGCCTGAGCATAGTTTGTGTGTGTATACACGGTGAGGATGACTTTGATCTCAGGGGTGCATAAGGTCGGAGTGAAAATTTGGAGAGACCATGTAGCCATTTACTCATCTCCCACCCACACACTGTACAGAATGAGTCACACACACTCAGCCGGCCGTGTGTTTGTTTTCTTTGACGAGCGTGTGTGTGTACTCGTGTATGTGTGTGGAGGGTTTAAGGCCTCCCCGCTCAAACGGAACAAAAGAGATATGAGCATAAAGAAGGGGAAAAAATCCCCAAACAAGAGGCAAAATGTGGGGTTTCTGGCCTAGAGAGAGAGTAGAAAAAAAAAAAACCTGCACAAAGAAACAGGAGAAAGCGAGCGCCTGAGAGCAGTCAGAGAACGCCAAGGACTCCATGTCCTGCTCTGAAATGAAGCGAGAGGCACATGGCTGGGCGGAACGGCTGCTTCTGGCCAGGTTTCAGTGGGTCGAAGCCTTTCCACCATGTCGCCTGATAGGGAACAGGCTCTTGCAGCTGTCCAGCCATTCTGTTCACTGCAGGCAAAACAGCCTGGAGCCAGAGACCCTGAGTTAAGCGCCCCCACCCCTTGCGGCAACCGACGGAGGAGCGGAGAATAGAAAGGTGGAATGGCGCGGAAATATGTGGGAAGCAGGTTGCAGAGCGCCATTTGTTCTCTGTTGGGAGCCTGAGATAAAAATATAAAATTTTAGCAGAAGACTGAAGCCAGGGGTGGGATTAAAATCCGGCCCATATGCACAAAGGCGTCACACACCTAGAACAGGAAGCAGCATAAAGCATTTTGCTAAATCCAACACTGTTGCCTTACAAAGCACAAGCCTCGAGCAGGTCTGCAGAGAAGATCTCAGAGGTCAAAACATTTGTAGCAAATCACTTTCCGCTAACACAAATACGCTAGGTAACTATAAATGCGTGTTTGCAACTTACTGCAGGCACCAGTAGCTTCTTGACTTCTTCGACAGCTCTTCTCATCTTGATCTCGGCACGTGTCTGTGTGTCCTCCACTGTGATCAGCACGTGCAGGTCTTCATTTAGGTGCTCCCAGTTTGGCTTCCCTCTGTTCTGCTCCTCCTGAGAAATGGAGACGACAAAAGAGAGAGAGACAAAGTGAGAATGTTAGTAGTGGTGACAGGATTTTTTAGAGGACATCTAACTTTGAGTGAGTGAGACATTTTTTTGTTGCCATAGATGACAGCCGGCACTCTGATGCAGCCTCACAGAGAGTTAACCGTAGAAAGACTATGGTTCCGCAAACAGCAGCTATTACCCCAGAGCACATTAACATGCGCTGGGAGTAGAATACTTACCACCACCACATTTCCAAATAGTCAGGCAGCTGCCACACACATTACTGTAAAAATGACAAATTCTGATAACTAGTGGTTTTGCCACTAATTTTAGGTATGGTCATATGCTGTTCAGCACACACTAATCAATGGATTTTCATGAGCAAGAAAAAAACATTAAAATATTAAAACCATTACATACCAACCAACTGCAGACTTTATTTGTTCATTATAAGTTCAATGAAGTCTAACGCACTGATCCAAGTGGAGGCCAAAAATATCTTAATTTTAATCAGAACAGGAAAAGCAGTGAAGCTCTTTGAGCACAATTCTCCCAGCGATCATTTAAAATGGCCTGCAGTTGGTGTGCATGACCGTTTGATTGGCTTGGGTTAACAGCAGCCTCAAAAGAAAGCCATTATGCTACAGCAGAGCCATCTGAACAGCCGGAGGTGCTAAACTGAATAAAGAAGAAGCTTCACTCTCTTGAGGGTGGGTCTTTTTCAAATCCAACAATTACCCACCACCCAAGCTTTCAATGCCTCTCCAGAGCCTGACAGTTCATCTAGCTTGGAGTAGAAGCAACCCTACAAACCTGATGGATGAAAGGTAAAAAAAAAAAAGAAAAAAAAAAAAGAATATTCACCAGCCACCCATTGCGCCAAAATATACATAAAAAAAAGTTAATAGTCAGAGACTGAAGAGATGTGTAAAATCTAAAATATAAGCCTGGGCAATAAAACTGTATCGATATTTATCGACGGTACCCCTTCTTCGATAACGATAGAAATTTTTTTTTATATAGCGCACGATATAGGCACGTGCTATGAGTGATGCAGACAGCACACACAAACACGAACACATGCTGAAATGAGTGCTGTGCCTGCCTGTGATGAGGAGATTGTGAATAAAGAAGGAATATTAGTCGAATTTAAAATAAACCTTTGCATTTGAATGTTAGGTGTGCATCAGGGAGTGGTCATGCGGTGAGTGATGTAAGTGATGTTGTTGCAGTTTTGTAAGTCTAGCCCACAAGAAGCACCACTGCTGCGTTATTCATTCAAAATATTAGAGAAATATAGTAGCTCAATGCGGAGAAGATCTTGATTAGATTAAAACCGAAACCACACAGAACGCATATTCAGCACATTTTTTAGACAGACAAATATGACTGCTGCACTCGTGTCTCACACAAGAGATGTATAGAAAGCCATGCAAAGTTAAAACAGTTTAAACGTTTAGAAAACACGTCACAAATTTGTGAAGGTTTATTCCTTTTCACTGCGTCTCATATGTTTTTAAATGCAATCTGTGTGAATGGCGCTTCGGCTCTTTGGATTAAGCAATGCATAAATACGTGATGCTATTTTGTTCATAATTGTTTATGCAATTTACGAAATTATATTTGATTTTTATATTTTAATTTAGATGCAATGCACGTTTTTTTATAGAGTTACTTCCTTGCTTTGACAATTTAAATGCGCTGCATTATTTTGTACATTGCGCCCATCTGTGGCCTCGGGAGACAAGACAAAAGTTTCCTTAAGACCTAGTTAATCTGCATATCAAACATTAGAAATGAGATATTTCATTTTTATTTTGTGTTTGATTGTTAAAACAAAAAACATTTGTTTGCCTCAATAAATTGGATTAATTTAAAAATACAGTGGTTAAATTTAAACTTTTATTGCTCTTTGTTATAAAAAAAGGTTATAAAAAATGTCAATAACTATCGATACCGAACGATATGAAACATTATATCGTTGATACATTTTTTTAGCTCACTTTTTACTATTTTTGAATCTGCTCTTTAGATTATTATTAATATTCTTTTTTAGGAAAAAGGGCTACGCTTGTGTACATTTCTTTATGCACTAACATAGCAAATATATCTCCACTATCCACCCTTCAAGATTTAGATTGAGCAATTAATGCTAAAAGCATTTATTAAGCCTATCCACTTCCAATCTCACATGCTTTATGCCTGAATCCATTAGTAATACAAAGACAGGATTCCAAGGTAAAGTAGATTAAAGACCACTTGACCGGCCCTAACCACCTCTTGTTCACATTGATTACAAGTATAATGTCGGCATCTGTCCCTCCCCCCCATGTTTCCCATGATGCTTTCAGATCATTGCTCAGTCAGACACCTCAATTAGCATGCCTGCTTCACAAACGAGCACAGAGTGGTGGATCTCAGCGGGGAGGCACCCGACATGCTTACTAATATACCGAATGAGACCCAGTCGAGTGCCTATGACACCGCTTTCCATAGCACTGCCATGGATACTGTAACTATAGCAATGATCACATACACAAGTGAACAATACATGGGCTGTTTCTGTATTTTCACGACACTAAGGTATAATTCTACCTCCTACTATGCTGGAGTGTTAACCAGGTAGTTACTGATGCTAGCTGATTAATCACATGTGTGCAGTACCCGGACACCCGGATTTAGGTCTGCCAAATGCACCAATTAGCTTTACTCGTTAAAAATAGATATCCTAAATAATGATCCTGACCAATCATGGCCTGTAACTGTACAAAGTACTCTTAAAAGCAAATGCTACTGCATTGTTTTCAAGGTGAGCACATGCTTTGCCATCCATGTTTGGAGCGAGACCTTCAGCTCAGAGCAGAGCAAAGGCATGGACTGTAAACACACACACACACACACACCCCTGCCCATCAAGAAGCAAGGTCATTCTATGTCCTCTGAGGGTGGGTGAGGGGCGGGCAGAGCCGGGCAGAAAGAACAACCCGAAAGCCTCTGAAGAGGGCAAAGATTCTGTTTACTGACATACGAAACCACCGGAGAGTCGACACGCATGTGATGGGAGACACATGTGATGACGGACCCATAAAAGTACAAGAATGAATCCAAAAGCAGCTCGTCAGCAAATATGAGAGGGTTTGTGGAACTTTGGCATGTGTATATGGACCGAGCTGTCGATCTTGACTGTATGTGCACCAAAAGCAACAGAGCAAAATAAACCATGCAAAGTTTTCACCATGCAAAGGCACTGCTTCGATTCCACTGGCAGACGTCCTGTCTGGAAATAATCCCACCGCCCTATAAATACTGTTCATATCAACCAGAGCAGACTGAACTCAAGCTACAGTCTTTAACAGCTATCCCGTATGAAGTAGTTTACAGGCACCTGTTCAACAGGAGTGGAAAATCGACTGGGGGAAAAAAACTCAAACTACCAACATGGGCAGGAGAGGTTTTTTCTTGTTTTTTGCAAAAAAACAAACAAAACAAAGCATCAGAATTTTTACTGACACAGCTGCTGGAAATGTTAGTTATCATTATAGTTTCACAAGTGTCGACAATCTTTTTTCATTTAAATTTAATACATGATTATCAATGCTTCAAGTTTGCAACAAACTAGTCTGGAAAAACAAAGCATTAAATAAAAATTCACCCCATCTATTTTCTAAATGCATCTTTTGTGTTAAAAAAAAAAAATCCCCAATGCCTGTTTCTTATTTCTTAAAATTTGTGTTGACCTCAATTTATAATCAAATGATCAACTAAATTTTCCATTGAGACTTTTCTCTGGTAACATATGCCAGATTTCTCCAATCATTTGGTCCTCAATTCCTGCCTCCATCCAAACAACAACCAAGAGATAGGACCAAGTTCCCATCCTATATATTTTTTCTTTTTCCCTTGGATGTCACAATATGAAAGAAAGATCTGTCGCTTCCGTTACATGGTGACTTTAAGGAACTTGTTTCCTATTATAAATGTGTGCTGTGATACAGGTGTAAAGAAAAAAGAAAGAAAGGGAACTCAATTTAACCAAGAACAAAGACTTGAAAATAAAAAGATGAGGGACAGAGGGGAAAAAAGCTTCAGAGAGCCTACTGTGTGGCTCTGGAGAGGTTCTGTGATGCTCTGGTGAGGGTGGCCGTCTGTTACATTTGATCTGTGCTGTGGTTTCTGTGAGCCCTCAATTTGAACAGTGTTTGATCAGAGGACTAGGCTACACAGTGGGACAGGTTATTATCCTGAGTTTGTCTGTCCTGTCCTCTCCCATTACATCGGCCTAAGCTCGGCTTCAGTACACACACACACACAACAAGCATGAGGACATAGAGCCTCTTGAGACTGTGCGAACTGGTGTATACACAGCTCTTGAGAGGGTGAATGGGGTTAAACCATCTTTGGGGAGCTGTTAAATAAAATGTCTGTCTGATTTAGGGCTAACGAAGCATTTTCTCCTGAGACTTCAGGTGAACCATGCCTCTACCTTTCAGAGTAAACATTAAACACACCACTAACAAACAACTCATCGCACTGTGTCGCATCCCCACGAATGACCTATAACCAAACACTCTGTGATGAGAAAGACTCCCACTCCACTTCTTCTCTGAATGAAAGTCACTTCTTTTTCCTTCTTCTATTTTTCTACAACTCTATCGCTCTCTCAGTCCCCAGAGGCAGCAGCAAACTAAATTATTGAGCACAAAAACGGCTTGGCTAATGGACACTAAATAAACAACCCCCTCAGCCCAGACCTGACTCTGCTCACAACTCTTCAGTCTCTTTATATGGGTCTAACTATATACTGTGTGGTATGGTGCCTGCAACGCATCCTGCCGCAAGACACTTCAACGCATAGTGAGAGCAGCTGAGAAGATAGTTGGTGCCTCTCTCCCCTCCCTCCATGACATTTACAACACCCATCTCACCCGCAAAGCCCTCTGCATTGCAGGTGATCCCACCCACCCGACACACAGCTTCTTTAGTCTGCTGCCATCAGGGAGGAG